GCTTCTGAAAATTCATCTTCTATTGCCGAAGCCACAGCATCACTCCCAATAGTGCTAAATGGCCCATTCAACGAAGGCCTAACCTTCCAGTCATCCTTAAACAAGGTAACGAAAAACTTGAGTGCTTCCCTTTTAATGGTTGCAGGATCATCGCACTGAGAACCATCCACTACTAAAAAGTTTAAGAAGTTCCTATTCTGCCTACTTATAGCCATAATGTGAAAGAACTTAGTATTACGACCACCCTTTAACGCCCATGACAACCTAGACTTCTGTAGCCACATTTATTCTTGTCGTTTGCTCCACTTCCAAACCTCATCTCTAAGCAATCTTGCTCTAGCCAGTTCAGTTTCATTAAGTTCCCTAGATTCCACACACAAATCCAATGAATGGAGTTCATCCTCAACTTCTTTAAGTTTCTACTTAACATTACCAAACACCTAAGTATTCCACTCCTTTAGTTTAGCTCTAAGGGCTTTCAACCTAGAATGAATACATACCCTGCCCATCTAGTGACTACAAATTTTTCCCAAAATGTTTTCACTACTTGGAAGAACTGTGGATACAAGGTCCAAGTGTTAATAAACTTGAACGGTCGTGGCCCCCAGTCCTGAACATCTTCTATTAGTATAATTGGAAAGTGATCGAATACAACTCTTAGTAACCCCCACACCTTACAATTGAACACTCCCAACCATTCCAGAGATATCAGAAACCTATCAATTCTACTCCACTTATCCCTTTCTAAGGCATTACATAAATTGCCTCTCCAACATTATCAAATCAGTTACTTCCAATGACTCAATGAACTGGTTAAACTTCCTTATTTCGTTAAAATCACCCCCTAGACACCAAGGAAACACAAGCTACGGTTTTAACCTGATGATTGTGTCCCATAAACATTTCCTATGTGACACCTCATTTGGAGCGTAAACAGTCATTAGGACACAATCAAAAGCAGGGAGAATGGTACCTTAAAGCAAGACAAAATTCTTACTACTACACCAACTACTCATACTGAACACTTATAGGTTTCAAACACAAAGTAATCCACCTACATGCCCTTCAGGATCAACTACCATGAAATCCATCTCAGCCCTAGGCCATATAGATCTGATGAAATTTTCAAAGACTCCAACTTTTTTTGTTTCTTGGAAAAAAACAACATCCACCCCCCGATCACGTAATACTGACTTAATCTTCTGCCTCTTCCTATCTCTACCAAACCCTCTTATATTCCATGACAAAATCTTCATGTAGAGACTAGTCAAACACCAAAACCACCTAACCGTGGGATTCAAGGACAAACTGTGCCCCCACAGCCTACTGCAAGCTCCACATCCTCCAATTCCAACTCCACACATTTAGCCAAAACTTCTGATTCTTTCCCATTACAGTCAAGCCCAAGACATTTCCCCAACTATACCGTTCTATTAGCTTCATCCAACAACTACCTCTTCCTCCGATTGGGCGTTAATGAGGATGACAATAGAGCCACCACAGACGCTAGACACCAAGCTCCTCTATGCCAACTCCTAGCTGGCATTGTCCCTTTTATCCTCGTAACCTTTGCCCCTCTTACCATTCTTCGAACCAGAATTGTTTCAACTCATGATAATTTCCTCCCTCCTCCGTATCTATTTCCCCTAATTTGTGACTTAGGGCACGCAGAACCCCTTATACTGTTGCTCGTTTCTTCCACCAAAAGTCCACCTTTCCTAATCTGGTTTTGATTTGGACCCCTTAGAGGCTGACTCTGGCCCACAATACCACCTACCCCTGCTTTAGTACACGGTCCACTAACAAGCCCACCAACTTAAGCTTCCCCTAACACAGGCCCAAGCACATGGGCTTTTTCCAGCACTACCTCAACATTAACATGAGGCCTTCCAATATCTGCCCCATTTGCACTCCAAACGAAACCAAGTGTAATAATTACATCATCCACATTCAATTCATGCCGTTACACATTAACCCCAGATTGAGTTCCAGCTAACCCAACATCTCTACTATCAGGCACTTCATTTGGTCTTCCAAGACTACTAACACCTGTTTCCTCTACAATTGATGGGGAGGGCCTTACAACTTCACTGGCCACTCCAACTCCCAATCCCATCCCAGTCCTAACTCGTGGCAACATCCCATCTGTACGTGCCACCTCACCATTTCCATGGTGCCGCTCAATGGTTGCCACCTTCTTCGAGCACGCCACCTCATCATCCACATTAGTATCATCTTTGGCAACCATCTCACCGTTTAGCCCCCCTTCAACTGTGGGCACTAGGTCAACAACACTGCTGCTATCACCTTGATAATGCATTAGACATTTGCAAGCTTCAGTAACAACCTTCGATACAACCATTTGTTCCTCATAGACCCTAGCTGGATATGATCTTCCCCAATTGAGACTAATGACTTGATTAATTGAACTCATGTGCTTTGTTGCCACCTTAATATTGTTGCATTCAAAAGAGGACATTCTAGTCGTGTCTTCTGCAATTTCAACAACCTCACCCCAAATCTTTCCAATGTTAATAAACGTATTGTAACTCCACAGATTCAATGGGACTCGAAAACAACTAAGCCATACAAAGCGTTCTTGACCCAAATGCATACGTTGTTTCCATTCTAACACAGACTCGCACCACGCGTCAATTAGATCACCAAGAAGGATAAGTTTTTCTTTCATGATCGCCACCAATCGAAAAGTCACCATTGTATCTCTTCCTTCTCCTTTCCTAACTACTATTTCATCAGAGCCCTTAAGATGTATTGCTCCTTCAAAATCCAAAAAGCTATACTGGCTTCTAAATTTAACAATGACACTTTCAAATAACCAACCATTACCCTCTTCTTTCGCCCAAACCACCACAACACCATCGTTCTTAGCTCTTGTAACTTTAGCAAATGATCTTTTTCCATCTCCTTCATATGGCTATTGTTTATGTACCCACCCGAAGCTGGAAACATGGTCTTTATCTTTGCCTTCCCCTGGTTTGAGAATGGACACATTCTAGCTGCGATACTGGTTCTTCCCAAACTCTGCCATCTTTACTTTAATAGCTTGATCGTCACACCGTATCCCATTAGCTTTTTGGATAGCCACCTCTGCAGCTACAGCGCAATCGTACCTAACAAATCCAAACCTTGTCCTAGTAGCTTTCCTACTCTTATCTGGTATGAACACATCTTTCACCACTCCGAACTTGTTAAATAATAAGGATGAACCTTTCGAATTAATGGACGACGGCAGATTGTCCACAAAGATAGTAAACACCTCTGCTTTAGCCCTATTTGAAACAAACCTTTGCGCATGTCGCCCTCTTTGGTATAACACAGGCTGTCATCCTTCCCCATGTCGTCTATCTGCCATCTTGTCTTTCATCTTTTATTTTTTCCTTTCATCTATGCATGTTATTAGCGACGAGTTAACCTGTCGCATATATGTATTTGTTCAAATCTTTAGCGACGGTTTAAACTATTGTGAATACAATTTTAATTTAATTCTATTTTTTTGGCAACATTCTAGACCGTCGCTAATAATACTTTTTGCGACGTCAAAACCCTTGATTTACCATTGCTAAAAGAAAGCGACGGTTTGTAACCATCGCAAATACCTTTTGTCATGCCCTCTTCCGCCAACCCCCTTTCCCGTCACTACTTCATTGCTTTTTTGTGACGACATGTGGAACTTTCGCGCCGGTTAAGACCATCGCAAAAGCTCTAATCTTTAGTAGTGCCTGTTGTCGTAATGGATTAACTGATTATAAACTAATCTACAAAATAGTAACCTGTTTGATATCGTTTTAAAAAATTTATTTGGGTAAATTTTGTGATAATTTGTTTGCACATGTTGCTAAAAATTGACAATTAGTGACTTTTTTTATTACAATTTATATAAATTATCACTAAAACTTACAATTATGATGTTTTTCTGTGATGAACATTTTAAATTGTCACGGAAAATTGAAAATTAGTGATGATTTTTTGTGCCGATTTTTTTAAACTGTAGCTAAAACTTATAATTAGTGACGTTTTTGTAACAATTTTCAAATTGTCGTTGAAAATTAACGATTAGTGACATTTTTTAATAGTGTTTGATGAAAAATGACATTAATTATCATAGAACCTATTAGACAACAAGTGTACCTATTAGGACCTACGCGTAACTTCCTTTTTTATTTTTGTTCTAGAAACAAAAATAATGAAAAATTTTAAAGCATAAATAATTTTATTTTTTGGGTGAATAATTTTTAAAAAGTTCAAAAAAAAAATTAAAAATATTTTCTAAAAACGAATGCTTTAGCTTAATGGACGTCGTATCATGATTTCATCAACTAAAGTGTACCAACCACCAACTAGAAAACATAATTAAAATAAAAATGAGAAGGAAAAAAAATAGAATAATAACTAAAAAAAAAAGATAAACAAAAGAACACAATTCTGGCGAAAATGCAGATTTTTGTGTTCCTAAGAACATGAAAGATTTTTGTTAGTTCCATCAATTCTTGAGTGTCAATTCAATACAATTCTCTACAATTTGTAGTGGATTCATGTCTACAAATTATTAAAAGTTCATATGTTGAGACATGCTTACAATACAAGGTTTTAAAATACTGGTTATTAGAACATCTAACACAACTATAATTAATTGATTGAAAATCAACTTAGTCATAAAATTTCAAATCAAATTTCTACTCATATGAACATTTCAGAGACTAATGTATATGAACATTTCAGAGACTTACATTAGAAACCCATAGCTAGCTATGATAAATAGAATGTAGAATCTTCAATAACTTATTTAATATGATCATTTAATTCTTGACAAAAATACATATATATCGATTATATTTAAGATTAAGAGTCTTAAGCCATATATATGAAACTTTATAGCACACATTTGTGGTGTTGAAATGTAAGAAAATAATTTTGGAGGAGGGTAGGAAATGAATAAAACAAATCATCACAAAGACATGATAGACAACAAGAGACAAACATTGTTAAAAGTAATGATAGAATTTAGTTGGGAGGCCGCGAAAAGGCACTCTTTTGCGTAATGATACAAAGTGAGGTGGAATCGACTTACAACAGAGTACACAGGTGTCGAAGTGAATTAAGACGCCTCCGCCGATAGGATCTCAAGTTCAGCCCACCAGAGGGGAGAGAGTCTGGGAACCGCTTGATCAGGCGTTATAGCAATAATTTCCTTCAATCTTGAAGTGACTTCTTTCATGGTTGGTCTCTTCCTCGCGTCTTGTTGAATGCAGTCTTGGATTACCTCGCAGATGATGTCAAGCTCATTGTTTTTGGATGACTTCAAGGTTGGATCGATCATGTTGCTGAAACTCTCTTTATTGCTCAAGTATTCATTAGCCTAGCAAAGTCATAAACTTAACTGAGATCTTAAATACCATAATAATCTATCAAACAAGAACAAAGTTGTTTAGTGCAACTTATATGGATGCTTATAGCTTTTGATTTATTTATTTTGGAAGTCTATGCCAGACTATTTGGTGCTACTTCTACTTAGAATTTATTAGGAAAAGAATAATTTGAAATCTTTTTTTATTATCTATAAGGAGGAGGGGTACTTTTGGCTTATACTTTTTTATTATGAATTTTCAGTTTACACAAAGCTGTGCCAAACAAGCCCAAAGGTTTGTGAGAAAAATTGATTTTAAAGCGTACCCAGTTTACTAAAGGCCCTTGTTCTTCTGAATGAGGGAGCTTCCCAGAAATAACTTCGAGCAACAGTACTCCAAAACCGTACACGTTTGTTTCAGGATCAGATAATGGTGGCAGTGCAGAATGCTCAGATTCATTTTCCCCTGAAATTTTTGACTTGGACGGAGCAGCCCCTGCCCAACAACCGATCTCTCCAATCTGAGATAGCCAAAAAAATTAAATTAGATACATCAAAAATAAAAAATGAAGAATCATTCATGAAACTTGTGGAAATATGGGATAAAGAAAGAAGCCTACTTTAGCAGCATAGTCATCAGTCAAAAAGATAGCATTTGAATTGAGATTGAAATGTGCCACGGGTGGATTCAGGTCATGCATGTGTTGAAGACAGTATGCGGTTCCCATAATAATTCTCAACCTCACATTCCAGTCAAGATGTTCAACTTCTTTAACTGAATAAAAATAAATAAATGATACTTGTATAAAGAAATGAAACCGCAAATTTTGTAACTCTTAAATGTGGGAAATAGTATTACCGTGAAGATGCTCAGATAGGGTTCCGTTTGGAGCATACTCAAACACCATCATCCTAGTAAAAGGTTCTTCCTCCTCACAGTAGCCGATAAGATTGACAAAGTTTTTGTGATTTATTCTTGACAATGTATCAATCTACAGGAAGACCACAATGAAGAAAATTAAATAATCCTTACAGAAAAAGGAGTAGTAAATTATGCATTTGCATAAAACACAATTCATAACCAATGCAATATAAACAAACCTTCTTCCGATAGGCCACTTCTGAGCGTTTTGACCAGTCACTAGCAGCTGTTATTGCGGTTGATGCAACAGCAATCTCAACTCCACTTGATAATGTTCCCTTGTATACGGTGCAACCATCTATGGTATCAATAATGTTGCTAAAATCCTCACAAGCAGTTTCTAGCTCTGCTCGGTTTAGCTTAGGTACTCCTGCAATTTTTTAAATAAAAATTATCATTTAGTTGTCGTTGCATTAATGAAATATAATACTAGGACATTTTGCCAATCCGCCAAAACTGGGTTGATCATTATAGAAATTAGGAAACAAGTCAATTGAAGTTCACCTGATGAGTCATTCTAGGCTACCTCAATTTTTTTTTTTGATCAACGGCTACCTCAATAGTTGGCTGGTATTGTGAAAGCATATATGGACACTGGAAAAATTGATTTGCTTCATTTGTGTAGTGTAGCATTTGAAAAGTGGAGTCATTGAAGAAAATGGAGCCATCGCATGTTCAAGTATACTAACTAATATTTGGTTTTTCAAGAAGTGACAATACCATTTTTTGACAAGCATTAAGAAAAGGCTTCCAATTCTTACAATGTTCCTATGCACTACAATGAATTTCTAACCTCAGATGTCATGTCAAATGTACAATAGAACTCTGATAATTTAGATGTTTGTCGCCATGTGCATGCCTTAATTACTCTTCAACGAGATTTTAGAAGGTCCGAGTCAATAACTAGAGTGTTCCTCTCCTTATTTTTATTTTTTTAGGAGGTGTTCAATTACACTAACCACCATTGAGATTTGGAAAAAAATATACAAGCCTCATAATTTTAACATAATTACACTGACATCCCTTTTAATAAAACTAAAAAGATCAGAACTAATACATATGACGTGAGAGCGCAAAGATAACAAGGTAAAATATAGATTTTAGTGTAAACGATATGATAAAATCATTTATTCTATCCATATGACTAACAAATGATGGAACAAAATAGAACAAAGTATTATATGAATTGAAACCTTAAAGAACCTGTTTTAACCTGTTGTAATTATATCGAACTTGTATTTGTTTCCAAGTACCAGGCATAATGGTTAAATAAGTCATGATGAAGTATTCAATCTTTCAATTGACTAGGTTTGTCCACAAAGATAGTGCATGTGTTCATTAGGCAAAATTACCTGTAACAAAGGCTTTTTGCAACTGTCCACTCAGTCCAGTCTTCCAAGGACCAATGTTTGACACTGCTTGAGTCCGACACATGAAGAACATCGCCGCAGCAACAATAAGCAAGACAACAATGCCCGAAATCACAACTATATACTTCCATGTATTCCCAGAAGTTCCACCAGATGAAGGGTTTTGATCAGGTGATTGATTAATAGAACCGGAAATCTGGCTATTGGGATTTGATGTATTATGATTCTGTTGGGGTGCAAGATCAGCTGGAGAAGAAACGGGTGGATGAGATTGTCCCTTTTTTGCATTTGGTACAGCAGGGAAAGACCCGCTACTCCGGGTAGATGGAAGAGCGATGATTTGGTCAGGAGGGAAGCTACCACTAGCCGGGGCAGCAGCAAGGTTACTAGACTGTTGAAGTAGCCTACGCCTTACCATATTAACTAGGTTTTGCACATTTTGGACCACGTGCATGTCATTTGCACCTTCTGAATGTAAGAGTCTACGTCATTTCTCTTAAAAACATGCACTAGTGATTAACTATGAAGCACATATACAGGTATAGGTACAAGTAGTCGTACAATCTAGGTACATTGATGCAATAAAATGTAAAAGAAAAGTAGGGTATGGGTATAAAAGAAAATACTTCTTTGTTAGTTGGCTTGTTTGGAAAGGTAGAATTAAAACTAGAGCTTTTTACTCCAAAGAATTGGGATTTTAAGTCATGATGCTAGGACTGATTGTGTGTTTTGTAATGGTGAGATGGAAACTTTAAACCATGTTATGTTGATGTGCCCTTTTATTTAGAAAATTTGGACAAATTTACTGAGTTAGTGGGGTTTGCAATGGGCATCATCTCAAAATGTTGAAGGATTGTTGTATTGGTGGAGAGGTTTCAAGTGGAGGAATTTTTTTTTTTTTTTTTTTTTTTTTTTTTTTTTTATTATCAGCAAAGAAAAACTTTATTGATAAAAAGCATACAGAGTATGGAAAGAACATCAAGAGAGAGAGAGAGAGAGAGAGAGAGAGTGCAGAAAGCATCACAGTGACCCATCAAGATCTCAACCAGGTTGGCACCAAGATGAACACGAAATCATCTGCTAGCACAAGCTCCAAGCTCCAAGTTGGTGAGAAACCAACATAAAGAGCAAAAACAAAAACACCAAAACAAGAAACAAAAGACAAGATCAGCAGAAAAGAACATCAGACCAAGGCTTGCAGCCAGCTTCAGCCCATACACGAGACAGCATAGCAGCCAAATTCACCAAGAGTATGCAGCCACAAAACTATAGCAGACCAGCAGCCTAGCAAAACTATAGCAGTCCAGCATAGCAGACCAACAATTCCACACAATTCAAGTGGAGGAATTTTGAAAACAAAATCTGGAATGCTATCCCATTGGCTGCCTTTTGGTCTGTTTGGACGATGATGAATGATTGTGTTTTTAATGGGAAACAATTAATGCTGGAGGAGTTGAGTGATTTGGCAAAAATAAGTGTTGCATTATGGTTCAAAGCTTATTCAAAGAAATTGTTTGTACTCTGTTCATGATTTGGTGAATAATTTGTAGAAAGTAAGGATGATATTATCCTAGAGTTCTGGTTGGGTTGGTGGGTAGTGTACTAATCAGCAGGGATGGTGTAGTGTTGTTGTTGGGCTCAATACTCTTTGTTGGTTTCTCACTAACTTCAGGCTTGTACTTGAATATGATTGTGCAGCCTCTTAGTGCCAACCTAATTAGGATTACGAAGTTCTATTATGATGTTTGTAGCACTCCCTCGCCTTTATTGATATATTTCTCATGTGCAAATTTCATCAATAAATTTTTTTTCTTTTACTGATCAAAAAAATGTATGGGTATGGGTATGGGTATGGCTGGGTATATTTATAAAAAAATATTTATATTTAATTTAAAATAATATAAAAATTAGTTAAATAATTTAGTTGGTTAAGATTCAACCTACAATTCATATTTAATACCAAAAGTAAATGATAAACCAAAATTAAATGTCACTATATTAAATAATATACTAACCACCTTAATTTTAAAATCATAGTAAGCATTAAAATAAAAAATAAAAAATAAAGTACAATGAAATTAACTCCACATTTGTATAAAAGAAAATACTACTCTGTTGAGGTACAAGTTTGATATGATACTAGGCACTTCCGAGGTACAACAAAAATTAACAAGAAAAATTTTGAGTACGTACTTCATGTACTTGGTACCGATATGTCAAGTTTGTCGAAACATATATGCATGTTTCATAGATGATCAATTAGGTAATAATCGATAAATTGCTCTTACTCACCCGGTAGTTCGTCACAACAATTATATGCAGGGTTGTGTAAGGAATCCTTTCCAGATTTGAACCTTGAAGAAAGATGAAATAGTTTCAATAGGATATTGTGTTAATATCTTATCAATATAAGATAATAAACGTAGGAGATGAAAAAGAACATATTGATTCCATACAATGGCAACACATTGAGGTAACGTAGAAGTGTCCATTTAATTGGGATCATGAATGAATCAGCTTTCTTCAGTTGTTTCAAACTGCTTTGCCACATGCTGTAGAAAATGTATTAGAATATCATAAAAGAAGGCAATTGAAATATTTTTATTCGACAGATAAAAGACAAAAGAAGCAGAAATACTACGTGATCAATAATAATCAATCCTAATAAAGGATTGTTAATCAATCTGCCAACAATCGCAGCAGAAATTTAGTATGTTTATAGAAAAATCAAAATATGATTATTGAGGAGCAACTTAAATAGTTCAAAAGGAATGGAAACAACATGTGAAACATTACAATCAACTGAAAAAAAAAATAAAATAAATAAAAAAATGGAAGAAGAAGAAGAAGAAAAAGAAGGAATTTCAGGTAAATCTCTACATTGTTGAAGCATAAATTTGGTATTTTTTTGAAAACTTATTGGATGATTGCACCAGATCAACTAAAGTCACATGATAGCTAGAGCCCTTAAACCATAGGTAAAAAATAAATGAACATTACCAGCAAATTGCATAATTCAAATAAAAGAATATCCAACAGGAAGAAAAAAACTAAAATAATAAAAATCTTAGAGATAATCTTTCACTCCAATCATAGTTCCAATACAAAGAGAATCTTAAAATGTCATAGGTATCCACACAATGGTCATACTCAATTTATAGGTTGATAAATGAGTTGATAAACCAAAGCCTTTGCCCCAATGGATGTGTAGTGTCATTTTGTGGTGTGAGGTTCTTAGTTCAACTCTCGTGGAAAGGAGTTTGATGCATATGGCGGTGTTTATTTCTTTCCTATTATGGGGATTGTATGTAGTAATAGTTGATTATTTCTTCCCAAATTTTGGTTTGTGATAGTTGGTGGGCATGGTGATGGTTGACTTTCTAGTTATTATTGAGCTAGTGATCAATTTGAAGTATTATTTTCCGTATTTGTAATTACTCTCCTACCAATGCAATTTAATAAATGTAACAAATTATCAAATAATTACAGCCTTATTATTTCAATTCCTCTTTAAAGATGCATCATTTTGAGAGTAAAACCCCAAACCATTATAAAACTAATAAAACAAAATCAATTTATTCAATAATTGTAAAAGTTGTTCCTCAATTGAGCTTTTCAACAAATCTAATCTGATCAATCATTTAGAATTTAAAATTCAGGGTTTATTTTAGTCAAGGTTAATTTAGCTATTTTAAAATCACTGTAAGGAGAAAAGTCTCCCCACTATTCACCTCCTTCCCTCCGTTTATTTTGTTTGCGCTATGTGTAATTAAGAATTGGATAGGTAAAGTGAGTAAAATGTCGATATCTACCACAGAATCAAAATTAAAAGAAATTAAAATATAAAGAAAAGTTGGTAAAGAACAAGTGCAACAAAACTAGGCACCTCAAAATCGGTGCCATGTTACTCTGCGGTCATGCTGCCTATTGATGCAGACCGACCTGAGTTATAAGGCCGAAGGCGAATTTTTTTAAATTGAACCCTTTATATATCATTAAACAATATATATATATATATATATATGGATAAAACGATATCAAGACATTAAAAATCATTACAATAACTAAAAAGGATAAAAATATAGTCCTACTGCTTTATGATTTAACAAAATTTAGATTACCAAAAATAAAAAATAAAAAAGTTAAACTTTAATTAGTTGAATCAAATCTTTATTTTTTTACCTCATCAATGCTATAAGAGCTCAAATTAATTGGGGGTAACGATGAGACTTTTTGACACAACTCAATCAATATATAAAATTAAGTTAGGGTTGACAATTTTTTAACATGACTCCAAATATGACATGACTCAATAACATAAATTATTGGTTATATATTTTAATATTGACTAAGAGGTACTATGATATTTTTTTTAATCTTTTATTTAAGTCCATCTAATTGAATAAAAAAGTACGTAAAATAATAATTTAAGGCTAATATATTTTTTCATTCAAGATATGCATTTTTTGTTACTTATTTTAGAGTCAATCTAGTAAAAAAATATATAGTAATAAGGTATAGTTTTTTTAATTAGAAAAATGCAATTGAGCTGAAATCAAACATTTTATGAATAATTTCATTTAGTATAAATAAATTTTATAAAATTTAACTTGTAAGAAAAAATTTATAAAATTTAACTAGTGAGAAAAATTTTAATTTCATCACACACTTACTAAGTTATTTTTAACTAAAACTGAAAGTTTTCACATTAAATATCAATTAGACATGAATAAAAAATAACACCATATGACAACATAAAAATAAATGGATTGAGCTAATATTGAGGTAATTATAAAATAACGCGACATGATACACATCCCTAGTTGGGAGCCCTAAATTTTGTTCAAAATTGGGGGCCCGAGGCCTCACCTTGGTTGCCTCACCTCAGGGCTAGCCTTGTGTCCATGTGTCGGACACATCACATGGCATGCTAATTTTTAATTATTATCCTTTTTGTAGGACACCTTAGGGACACTTCATGACCATATGTGTCTTGTGTTTGGACGCCCACAAAGACATCTTTGTAGATTTTATTTATTTGTTGGTTTTTTTTTTAATTTTAAAAGTTAATTTGGGGTAGAAGTAAAACATGTGGAAAGTGTTGAAAAAGTGAAAATCATAAAATAACTAGTGGGTCTATAAATTTGGTCTAGGCTGGCCCATCTCGGACCACACGGGCTCCTGCCAGAATTCGGGTCAGTTCGGGCCGAACCACGGGCCAGAAAACTAGGTCTAGGCCCAGGAGGTATTCGGATCACTGGTCGGGCCAGTGGGCTTGGGCTTGGGCTTGAGCTTGAAGCGGCCCTGTGCTGGACTTGACTAATTTTAATTTTTTTCACCAAAATTTTATTTTTTCACCAAAAATGACACTAGGTCTCAGACGAGCCGAGCCTTAAATGGGCCCAAAGAGGGCCAATGGGCCGGGCTCATGGGCCAGGCTGAGCTCTAGAACACACGGCCCAAAGTATCAAGTTAGAGTAGGGCCTAACTGGACCTAATTGGGCCGGACCCACCCAGGTTGTGGGCAGGCTTCAGACGGCTCACGGGCTCAGAGGCTAATTTTACACCCCTAAGTGGGTAGTGTTCATTTGAAGAGGTTTGTAGAAGATGTGGCAAAAGTACAACAAAAAATATATATATATATATCAATAAATTGTCCAATGAAAGAGTACTCTCTTACCAGTGTCCAAATTTTCTATTTATGCAGCCGATCTTAGTTGTGACAGCAAATGCAAGGTTTTCATCAAACTGCAATTCAGAGAGCAAATTGAGCTTGCCGAGCTCCGGAGGAAGGTCACCATCGAAGTTATTGTTACAAAGCAACCTGGATGATAATATTTAGTATACTCTAGGTATATGAAAATTTTAGCCTATAAAATTATAAATAAGAAAATTACGATAAATTACAAATACAACCTTTGAGGTTTGTTTAAAAATATAGATTGCCCCTGCGGTTCTAAAAATTACAAATATCCTCTTGTCAAAAATTTGTATTTAACAGAATTAATAAGAAAAATGAAGTTCATAACTACTCTATTATATTTTTTGATCAACAACAAAGGACCCTTTATTGATGATGGAAAACCTTACAAGAAGGAAGAAAATATCAGCAAAAGGGAGGAATGATAACTACTCTATTATATAATAATAAAATTACTTGAATTATAATATATTTATGATATCATTAAAAACTATTAATTGATTTCATGATTTATTAATAAAATGGATTATTTGTTATGCGATTACAAATTTGAAGGGGAGAGATGTAATTTTTAGAATTACAAGGAGAATTTATATTCTAAACAAATTTTAGGAGATGTTTTTGTAATTACCCGAAAAAGTAATCTAGTATATCTATAAACAATGAACTCACAAGCGCTTTAGCAACTGTAGTCCTCCTATTTCTGCTGGAATAGTTCCGCTTAAATTATTATTTCTCAAGTCCAATACCTCAAGGATTGTAAGTCCTCCAATCTCTTTAGGGATGGCACCAAAAAAATGGTTGTTTGAAAGTACACTGTTAACACAAGCATAGCACGACGGAATTATTAAAAATCATAAGTTTCCAAACACGGGCAAGGGACACAACATTGAGACAAAACAATCATTGGTAACAATAAGAATAAGAACTAAGCACAGCATTCTTCTACTAATTAACTCCAAACAGATATTTGCAAGTATTATATCTCTTTTCCATCAATGTGATAAATTCTTGTTCAGCCTCTAGATTAATGTCAATGTGATTCATGTATGTGCCAAAAAGAATGATCCAATTTTGAAGTGTTTTGTCTAACAAATTCCAATCTAAAATCGCAAAAACAATAAATAAACAAGAAAAAAAATATAGGGGTGACCGATGAGTTACCAAGTCACATTTGTTTCATGGATAAGATTAGTTCAACCTGAGGAAAAATGAATGGAATAAACGAGAGTTGACATAATACTTTGAGATGAATAAGCGGACTCACTTGAAAAGATCACGACAGAAATGAAGACATCGAAAGTAGTATGTGAATCACTTCAATTAAGATTAGCTTCCTAAGATGATTTACATATGTAAATACAGAATCAATAATGTATAAACCGTAAGAAATGATTATACCATTACAACCTGAAGTAATTTTGTATGGAAGACTAGCCAATAAAAAGATATTGAACATAAATTACCTAAATTTACAAAAAGAACTTTAGTGTAATCAGCTTATTACATGTTTGTTTGGGCGGACTGGATTAGTATTCCCATGACTAATAATCCTGGGATTACGAATTCGTTGGATTATGTATCCTATCTTAACTAAAAGTCAAGTTTAAAATAATTATTCTGTACTTCAAGGCCATGTTTGATTCACAACATTAATAGTGAGGTATTAATAATCCTATCAAATTAATGTGGTATTAACTATCCCACCCCTACCCCATTATTAATAATCCTACAAATTTGTTGGATTAATTATCCATTGGATTAATAATCCTAAACCAAAATATCAAAACAAACATAGGATAATTGGGCCCACGGATTAATAATCCCAATCCCATGCTTTAATCCTTCCAATCAAACATGCCCCAATTGTTTAACCAAACATCGAATTAATAATTTTATTGGACTATTAGTCCAATCCCAAGCTCATGTCCACCCAAACAAACATGGCCTGATTGTATAGAATAATCCACTGATGATTTAGAGAACTATGCTTATGAGAGGATAATTGAAAATTGAGATACGAACACTGATGACAAAATACAGAAATGTTAAACATGCTACAAGTCCAAGAACCAATTTTCAATATCATTTATACCACCACCTTTTTTTTAATTTCTTAATCAGTAGTAAAGTAGTTGTTATATTTTTGTTATTCAAAATGCAATATACAGAATCTAAAGGTGATACCCATAACTTTGATCCTACTTACACATCAAAATCCAATACTTGATACATTTAATAACTCGTATACTATAGCATTTGCCATCGTGTGTCATGTCTTTGTCAAATCAACTATTTTGTACCTTAAGATAATCCAACACGGTCAATTTTAAAGCAAAATGTACAAATTTTGAAGTCTTAAATAACCAAATTGAATAAAGTAATCCGGCAGGAGTGAAAATTACTCAATTGTGAATATATAGCCACAGCAACCAAGTAATGCTTACAGAGATCTCAGGTGGGTAAGGTTCCCAAGTTCAGAGGCCAGTTCTCCATTCAAAGATAGCCCATTGAGTTCCCTACAAATAAAATTAAATAGCAATTATCAAAACATGTAGCTATTTAAATTTTACAATACCAAATCCTCAAAATCAAACACTACTGATTTGAACAACAAAATATTGAACATATTTACTCATTATTTGAAGAGAGATAACATTTATTCACATTTTAAGATACAATTTTGAAATAAAAGTAACTAGAAACTTTAGAGTAAACATAAGATGGACTTACAGCATTTGCACTTCACCGTCGACACAAAAAACACCTGACCACATACATGGGTCATTATCATTGACATTCCAATTTGCAAAAGCTCCATACGGATCATAATCCACTCTTTTGCGGAATTCCAACAATGCCAATCCTGTACTTTGATTCCAATTACAGTGCATAACATTCAATAATGGGGTTCGACACATTTTTGAGATTCACTAACAACGTCAAGCTCATTCACCATAATGTCAAACACAAATTACCTTCAGAATTAAGTGAAAAACACCCTTGAATATCCAAAACAAGAATCAATATCGCAAAGCACGATAGCTGGATTCCATAAGTGTTGCATTTAACCCCCATTGATTGGAAAACCATAGGTAGCAGTGGTGGAGGCCGCAGAGAGCCAGGACTCTATACAGACTCGCCAGATTTTTGATTTGCACAAAACAACCACTCCGAAATTGCTCGGAGGCGTAACAAATTAACAATAACAACAACAACAATTTGTTGGATTTACAAATATATCGACAGATATGTGTACACAAATTTACTACAAGGCACAAAGTCTATTACAATGGACAGAAATTTCGGCTACCCTCTTCAGATTAATGACCAAATTTGGTTCCCTCATAATTTGTTTTTTCTTTTACTTTTTTTGTAGGTTACAACAACTCCCTTTTGGCCAACATTCACATAACCCAGATCAATAATTTATCTCTGAGGTTCAATCAAAGCTGAAATTCCAAAAAAAAAAAAAAAAAAGATTTCACAGTCTCCATCAAATGTCCTCCAAAAAAGAGTAATTAATTAGGCAAAAGGATCAAACATGTTAATTCAAAGAATAATCTCAATAGCGAAAAATTATTGGTTGATCCTAGAACCGCATGGCCATGCTCAGGCCCATCATAAACTTCCTTGTCTCATGTTTTTTAATCACCTAATATAAAATTGTGAATGTACACCTTCCACCAATTAGAATACACCTAGGGCAACACGTGACTGCATCCAAGACCAACGAATAACTTCTCCTCAATAACAACCAATATAAGAATTTTTTTTTTTTTTTTTTTTTAAAAAGTGTATGAAATGTTAACATAGAGAGAGGGAGAGGGATAGTAAATTTACCAGAAAGAATGGGGCCAAAGGGGCAGTCAATGATACAATTAATTTTTGCTGCTGTTGAAGATGGTTGGTGTTTGTGTATAATCAATTCTTGAAGAAAAATGCAGGTGAAACAACGTAGGGTTGATGATGGGTAAGAGAGATTGGTGAGAATTGAGACTCAAAATCAAAAGACAGTAAAGAAAAAATAGAAAATGCATAAAATAATTTTTTTCAAAAAAGAAAAAAAAATAAAATTTTTTTTTTTTTCTTGACTGCCCTTTTCAGGATGATCTCAGAGGAGGAACCTCTCTTCGACCATCTTCTCTGAAAGAGGGAGGGCAAAAGCTCCTGTCGTGATGTTTGTTTTCTCTCTCTAAATTTGTGTTGTTTGTGATTTTTCTGTCTCTAACAACCCTACAGCAACAGGGCCACCACCCCCACAAACTGTGCTTCTGTGTTCTTCTTTTTCCCTTATTTTTTTTTCCTTTGGTGGACCCACTTTCTTGGTTTTTCCTTTTTTTGTTTGAATTTTTTCAGTTGGGTATTGGTGGCCCCAAAAAAGTTTCATCGGCGGGAAGATTACCAGTTAACGGTTACGGTCGGCGAAGATTGTGTTTTTGTTTGTTTTGCTGCCACTATTTTAATGAGTGGTGTTGCGGGCCCCCACATCCGATATAGCCGGACGAGCTTTTTCATCAATTTCATGTCCCTACTGGAAAACCCATATCTCTCTCTCTCTCTCTCTATCGCCCTTTTGTTTTTTGTTTTTTTTTTTTTGAAAATGTTACCAACTATATGGATTCTATACAAATCTATATGTTATGAGTTTAGAGATTTGATAAAAAGATTTAATACATTATCTGGGATTTTTAACATAATTTTTTTTTTTTTTTTGAATTTGCATGCTAGCCTCGTAACCTCTCTCTTAACAAAATTTCTTTTCGTTGAAGGATAATTTCAAAACAGTGAAATAAACAAAAATAAAAAAAAAATTATAAAAATATGTGTAGTGGAAGTGATTTTGTGATGGAATGTAAGGGCATCAACAGTTCGCCAAATATTTTATTAAATCTAAGTAAAAAAATTTAAATTTCTCTATCTGATATCAGCTACTCTAACGGTGAATTTGTAACTGTTATCAAAATATAAATTGTTCAAAAAGGTGACCAGCCGATCGACTGACAGAGCAAATGAAGAGGATGACTTATGCACTCATGCAACTTTTTGATACCTTTTGTTCTAATCAATTGCTATTATCTTCTTTTTAATCAATAATTTCACATTTAGTTTGTTTGTATATTCAATTTAGGTGACAAGTCCTACAAAAAAGTGGTGTGCTTATTTTGCACATTGATTCACAAATAGTTTTTGGTTATTTTATTATATGTTCAAAGGTCTGCTAATGGGTTGTTTGGGGTGTCTTAAATAAGTATACTTTTTGTCTTTTTAGACTAAAAAATTGAGAAAAAAAATATGAATATTTGAGTTAACTTTTTGACTTTTTATGGAAAAATATGTATTAAAAAATTGTATAAATTAGTGTGTAGGAAAAAATTATGATTGAAAATTGTGCAGTCGTAATTTTTGACTTTTGCTAAATAGTGATAATTTTTTAACTTTTTGAGTAACTTTTTAAATTTTTGACTTTTTTTCACCCTGCCAAACTTGACCTTAGTGTTCAATGGAAGTAACAGACTTCATTTACTTTCTTAGCAACACAAACTTTTTCTCTCTCTCCCTCTCAAACTGTATACACATACATACTCTGTGTTTCACAAGGTCCTTGGATCGCTTTTTCTATTTTTTATTTTCTTTGTTTGGATCACTATATACACATACATCTTTGTTTGTTTCACAAGGTCACACACATACACATACATACATGCTCTGCTTTATATTTCTAATGCAGAAAGCTAAATGATGATGAAGAAAATAGAGCAACTATCGTGTTGTCGAAGCCTCTTTTGGAGTCAACTTTGCATTCACTCAAAAAATGATTTGAGCAACCAAATATACGAAGTGACTTATCACCCGACAAAGTACGCATTTCCACCCGGACACACCTCAATCGGTGTTCGGAGTCCATTTCCAACACTTTGTGTTGCCTATTTTTGTGGGAATTATTTAAGGAAGAGGATGATCGGGGGGCATTCGGCCGGTCGTCCAGAGGTCCCATCCTCAGCGGTCATGCACAATAAACTAGGGAAAGGTGGCCAAGATCCTTAGTTTGGTGAAACATTTGTTATTTTTCAATTTGATACAGGTTAGATAAAACTATTGGAGCACAAAAAGATATACTTTTTCATCAAATTTGAATTTGATGATGGATTTTGTGAAGTGTTGGAGATAGCCTAAGTAAAAAGTTGTGGGCTGCAAGTGTGACTTGTACCGCTCTATATTTGTGTAATTTTTTTTTTCTCATTGAGATGTAATTTCTCCAATTATAAAAGGTGTATATGAGATAAATGTTAAATGAAAAAAATAATTATGAATTAATAGAGCATAAATGAATACAAGTGATAGTTGTGTAAAAATAAAATTGTTATTTTTGAACAGTTCTTATTTACACTTTGGGCCCGTTTGTTTTCAGAAATGAAATGGAGGAGATCGTTAGTGAATGGACTGTTAGCGAGGAGACTGCTAGTGACATGATTAAGAAAAATTGTGTTTGTTTGATAACTAGTAGACAAGTAATAGTTTGTGTTTATTTTGAGAGATAAGAGTGGGATTAACCATGTAAAATTCCACAAATACCATTATTATCAAATTTAGGCTTATACCAACTAAAGGATTAAAAAAAATTACACAATGTTGTTATTCTTCTTCTTTCTTTTTTTTTTCTTTTTTTTTTTTTTTAAAAATCAAAGAATCCAACTATCAAAAAAAATTTACTCAATGCTATTCTTTGTTTTTTTAATATTAATAAATCCGACTATCAATAAATTTTTACTCAATGTTATCCTTTTTTTTTCTACAAATATTAAAGAATCCAATTGTCAATAAAATTTTACTCAAGTATTTGTGTTTAATATTACATAAGCCATATTATGAGCCTCATTCCAAGTATTATAACAAATTTAACATTAACACAAAGGCAAAATAGTCAATTAATCCATAGTCCAAGGCATTCATTTTTTAATACCACCTCCCCTAGGCCACTACTAGTTCCCTCATCTAAGACCTTTCATAATCCCATATGACTCTTAATCTCATGGCCACTTTTCAAAACAAGCACAATTTTTTAAATCTTACCTCAGTATTAGTCTCAATCCCATCCTTCAACTCTAGAAACAAACGAAGCCTTTATTAATTTAGAATTATTTCCTTTCTTTATAAGTATAAATCTAACTTTTCTTCAACTGTAACTTCTTCTCTTTTTTTTTTTTAACTTTTGATTTGATCGTCAAACTTTTAAATAAAATAGAAGATAGGAACAAAATAAATTTATGCCAAAGTATTTATTATATAATTAAAGATCATATGATTTTTTTCTCCATCATTTTCTTCTCTTATTAAATTGTTAGCTTTTCAATTTAAATTTTAAATTTAATTCAATTGAAAAAGAACATTGTGAAACTCTAATCATGCATTTCATACATTATCATTTTTTGTTTTGTGATTAATATGAGAAGAATATTATGTTAAAGTGGACTTAATTGTATGAAATTATCATGGTTTAGATTAAAATGTGATTATTTTTTACAGAGAGGATTCCATTTTTCATGTTTTCTTGAAAATTGAAGTGGAAATAATTAGTCAAAAGTTTGTCTTAATACTTTAAATGCTATGAGGTAATGTGATTAATATATATATATATATAATCTTGTATGAAATAATTATTTGCATTTTACTTTCTTATTGTTTTGTTTTCTTCTCCTACCTCCCAGTTAACATTGTTTTAGCTACCAAACTTGAGATCAAGCAAAATGGGCTTTTGGTTCTATACTAACTAAAGAGTTCATTAAAACTTCTTAAGGTATCAAGAAACTCTTTGGAGTCGAATTTTCTGTAAATTACATGTTTCTATGATTATAAGTGAAGTTGAGCATGTTTTTTAAATTATAAACAACTTCTACGAAAAAAAAATACTTTTTGCAACCGTTACAAGTCCTCGTAAATAATAAAAATACAATCGCAAAAGACTTTTTGTAACAAGAGTGGCAAATACTTTTTGTGACGGCAGAGCAACAGTCACAAATCATTTGTGACAGCCTAAACGTTTTTTTGCCACAACTATTTTGCCATCGCAAAAAATAAATGAATTAATTAAATAAAATAAAAGCACTTTTAGCGACCATTTTTACCGCCACAAATAATTATTTATTATAAAAATCATATATAAATTTGCTACAACAGAAGAAGAAGAAAAAAAAATCATTTGGAAGCACCTCAAAAAAATTTTTTAATGAAAGATAACAAATTTAACAAATTAATTTAAACTTATAATGGAAATATTAACTTATATTCACACCCACACACACATATAAATCCGCAAACAAAATACAAACTTTCATACATGCAAAACACAGATTTAAGTCCTCAAAAAAAAAAAGAAAAGGCAAATTACATTGACAGTCCCTATAGCTTAGGCTTTGTGCCACTTTGGTCCATGACTTTTTAATTGTGACACATTTAGGCCTCGTTTGGGAACAGACTTTTTAGTAACTTTTTGACTTTTTGGCTAAAATATAATGTAAAAAAAACTAGTATGTTTGGGATGACTTTTTGACTTTTTACGAAAAAATGTGCAAAAAATAGAGAGAAAATAAAATCTTTGACTTTTTGGTATGGTTGTTGACTTTTTGATTTTTTTTTAAGTAACTTTTTGACTTTTTGACTAAAAAAACCACTTGCCAAACGAGGCCTTAATCCTAAATTTTGAATCTTGTTCCAAATAAGGATAATTGAAAATTCCACTGCTCAATTTTAAGGACAAATTTGTCAATTTGATAAAATATAAACTAATTTGACAAAAATGTCAAAAAAATATTTTTGAATTTTTAAAAATTATTTCTACATACTAATGATAAAATTATGTAAAATTGATAAATCTTTTAGACATTTATTTTTTTTAACCAAATTAATTTTTATTATATGTTTGAATGATAATCATGTAATGGATCAGTTTCTATTTTTTCAAAAGTTAAGTATGGTAACAACTTTGATATCATTATTAAATCAATCCATTAAATCAAAAAATCTAAAATTAAAAACATTTCATATATTAAATATATCAATTACACATTAAAAGCCTAACAACCACCCATTACATGATCATCATTCAAACACATAATAAAAATTAATTTAGTAAAACAATAAATAAATATTTAAAAGATTTATCAATTTTACATAATTTTATCTTTGGTGGGTAGAAATTATTTTTAAAAATTGAAAAATATTTTTTTGACATTTATTTTTGTCAAATTAGTTTATATTTTATCAAATTGACAACTTTGCCCTTAAAATTGAGCAATTATATCTTCAATTATCTTTATTTGGAACAAGATTTAAAATTCATAATCAAATATGTCACAATTGAAAAGTCAGAAATAATTCG